GATTGATTGGTAACAGGAATGTCGGTAATCATACTCGTAATTAACAAATCGAACTCACGCTTCACGGTCGTCCTATTTTGTAAATTACCCGTACTATTACAGACCGAATTCGACTCTACTTAGTCCTTTTTCCATAATTTTCGTTAGCATACTCTTAGCAGATACACGTGTTTATCTTATAGTGATTTTACAAAGGTGGCCGACAACATTGAAAAGGTGGGACTACTGGACAACTTCAAGGCCGATAGGTGGACCTGTTGGGGTATGCTCTTTTTGAAAAGTATAGTAAAGTAAGAAAAAAATTTAAAAGATACCACGCTTAAGACCATTTCCGAGACTGGAATCTATCCCAGTACTACCAATCAATAAAATTAAATTCAATATCATTTATATATTTTATTGACTATACATTATGATTCCTAGACTACGAACATTCCTTAATTGAAACTCATAAATAGAAGATAATGATAATCTTTCTCCAATTCGGCAAACAGATGACCTTAAGAATAAAAAATTGATGCGGTAGTCTGCAGATTTAGTTTTCATTATTGATAGCAGTATACAATGCAAAGAATACCTGTATGAACCAGTTAACAACATTTTGAAATATAACTGAAATTAAGCGCTAAAACTGTGGCCATCCAAAACAGATTCCGAGACCATCTCCGCGATGTACAAAGAAATGACAAGGACACATCCAAACGAGTCACTAGACACATTAATTTCACTCTCCCACCATAGTTATCGATATCGAATATCTGAGCGATTTGATGGTCAAACTTGTATAGCTTTGACAACAGACGGTTTAAGACTTGTACTTTTAACAGTTGATGTTAAAAGTTTTTGGCCAGTTGACAGCTATCGGTTAACCCCATTGAGACCATTAGTCAGCCGGCTTAAAAATCGCGACTCGCAAGTTTGAAAGCGACCTTTGGGCTAACTTAGATTCTCCAAGAAGATATATAATATAATATATCACACAGTCCCAGGTTTTGCGTTTGATAAATAGCGAACATTGGCTGATGACGGTAGTTCATGTAGACGACAAAACCGGTGTTGCAAAAAAGGATCAAATTGAAATGGCCTCGTTTCTAGACAACATAGATCACCAAATGTTTTTATTTCTAAACAGTGGCAAAAAACATCTAACGCGATTGGAATCCCAATGTACGCGAGCTGCGTTGTCAGCGGTCAACAACCAAACGTCTGGCTTAGAAGTAATCCTGTCACAATCCCAAGTGCAGTGATACAGGTTTACATTGCTATTCAATACCGCTCAAAGAACTGCACAATGTTGGATGGAGATGATTTCTGTAGAGAATATTTTGACCTTTACGTGCATCAGTCCTGGAATAAAGAGGTACCCGAACCTCCAGGAAACAATTCCACCTATTCAAAGATTGCTAAGATAACTGCGCCGATCCCAGGTGTCTACGCAAGAGTAACAAAAATATTTGGTGTTCTAGTGAAAGGAAGGTACATCACGCTGGCTTTTCATAATCAGGGCTCTTGCAGCGTCATTTATTCTGTTGTTGTCAGTTATTTCTTTTGTCCAGAATTTACAGTTGGTACTGGCTTGGTGTCCTTACCACGATCCATGGCTCCAGCAAACAATTCAGAACCAGTAGAAGGTCGATGTGTCGTGAATGCTGTCCATTATCAAGGTATTGTAATGTTAGACTGCCAAAGCGATGGCTTTTGGAACATCAGCTCACTTCAGGGAGGTTGTGTATGCAAGGAGAAGATGGATAATGCAGGAGGAGAATGTAGAGGTATATCATGACCAAATCAAAATCATTAGCAAAGAAATACAAAGACAAGACTTAAGTCACACATTCATAGATTAAGGAAGGCGAAACCCCCAACATTTCTTTTTCCACAAGTGCGATCATAGACGTAAAGCACAATTGGATAAGGCCCGTACTTGGCATCCGAGTCTCTTAAGAAGATATCCACCGCGGAAAATTTTATTTTATAGGTTTGATAAAGATCGTTTTGCAAGCAATTCTGATTTTGTCGAATAACCTCCATGTTCGTAATTTCCTTTTGTTCTAGATTGCCCAGAGAGAAAATACAACAATCAGAATGGTTTGAATTGTACAGGTGAGGAATTGGTCATGTCCATGCTCAGGTCAAGTATCAAATCTGCTCTTCAGTTTCCTTTTATTTGCAACACAAATGACGCAAGGACTCTCGCTTTTCCGTTAGCATTCAAATATCACCGCAAAATGCAAATCCTTTTACTAACTACGAATCATTTTTATCAGAACCGTATGCATTACAGTTCTATGGAATATCAGTTAATGGGTGAATGCATGGGTGAACGATAGTTCAGTGCTGTAAAATACGTGTTTGATTTTTCATACCTTTAGTGATACCATCAACTCCGAGGGATGTCAAGGTTTCATTCGTAAACCAAAGTGGAGTTGAGATAACATGGCAGTCTCCATTAGAAACTGGTGATCAGACACACGTGATTTATGACGTCAACTGCCTCATACGAAAAATATGTAGTATTGATGACGTCGACAACTGTCTTTATGAGAATTGTTCACGTGACGTAAGATACATTCCGAATAATAAAGGTTTGAAAATGAACAACGTCATAGTGATGGGGCTATCTTCATTTGTGAATTACACTTTTAAAATCTTCGCCAAGAATAGAGTAAGTGAAGTGGCCAAAAGAATTTATGGAGATGAAGGAAATTTCGCAACACTGAACATAATGATTGAAGGATTAGGTAAGTTGTAAAACTTTCACTTTGTACAGGGTAAAGGATTCAACCTACACATTATCTATACTCGTTTTTTTTTGTGACCCGAGGGGAAACGAACTCGAAGTATTCATGAATTCCCGAAGCTAGACGGGAATTACGATGGGCGACTCTTTCACAATGTATTGCTCACAAGGCATGCTCCTTTTAATACTCTATTCTTCAGATCATTCAAATATCTCTGTTCCATTCAGCGAACAAAAGGTAAACAGGATAAATTAGTTTTCTGAGAAGAAAAATTGCAGAGGACACCGGTAGAAATAAAATTGTGACCGTAGTGATATAAAAGGTGGAATAATAACAAGGGAGTTGAAAAGTTAAGTCCACCAAAGCAACCACTTATAGGTAATGCTCACCAAAGAACTTTTTTTTCGTGTCTTACGCAGAGGTAGCTTCAAGCATTGCAACCCCACGAACTAAAGGTGAGTGAAGTAATTCCAGTCTAATCTGAAATTTTTTATCTTATTAACTAGTTTCTTTGAATTCAACACACACCTGTTTGTTTGCATTTCCTGGAATCCTTGCAGTGCGAGTCGTGCATATGATTGGTGCATTCTCAGTTGACAATGGACTATCCGAATCGAAGTGTCCACGATTTCTTCCGATTGTTGTAAACGTTAATGCTTAGAGCTTAGAGCTCAGCTCTAACGCCCGTTATTCCTCTTACTGAAAATATCTCTCAAAAACCAAGTAACTGACAACGTCACCTACTTTTCCTCTCCCGAGCCGTACCTCCTGTCCATTTGAAAGTAGCTGACGATGAAACTATCGGAAGGAACGATTATATAATTGACATTCATGGATAAAAACTTGGATTATATTCTTAAACGCGGTCTAAACCTTGCTTGAATGATCGGCCTCTAATTCAATCTACTTGCGACATGGAAACAGAAGATCGAATCACAATCACTAACTTATAATTTTGAAAGACATTTTGGTAACTATGCTCTCATAGCAACTAACAGCCTTCTTCCATCTTTTTGTAGCCTCATTTAAGACAGTTTCCGCAAAACTGGAAAAAGGTAGATTATTTACTTTAACAAGGATAACTTTAAAACAACCAAATTTTCTTCAATTAGCACTCTCAGAACCTTGAAACTTTCTGTCATATAGAGACCGGTCGCTGATCCCTAAAGTTTATCCGATAAGTAGTTTACAACTAGTTGTATTTGACTTT